CCCTAGACCCTTGCCCGGCCCGGCTAATCAAAGCAGCCAGGCCGATAACAACAGAATGGGCCACTGTAATAATAAATGGGTCTTTACTTGAGGGCAGGTTTCCTTCTGCCCTCAAGGAAACACTCATTAGGCCCATAAGAAAGAAACCTAGTTTGGCGGCGGACGAAATTGGCAATTATAGGCCAAGAAAAATGTTTCTTTCATGAGCAAAGTGGTGGAGAGGGTGGTGGCTGATCAGCTCCAAGCTCACCTGGACGAAACAGATGCCCTGGATCCTTTTCAGTTGGGCTTCAGGCCGCACCATGGTACAGAGACGGCATTGGTCGCCCTGTACGATGACCTGTTGAGGGAGGCCGACAGGGGCAAAGTGTCTCTGCTGGTCCTCCTCGACATCACGGCAGCCTTTGATACCGTCGGCCACGGTATCCTCCTGGGGAGGCTCTCCGAGCTGGGAATTGGTGGCCTGGCACTGGCCTGGCTCCGTTCCTTCTTGGGGGACCGCCCCCAGAGAGTGCAGCTTAGGGAGAATGTGTTGGCCTCATGGAGCCTCAATTGCGGGGTCCCACAGGGGTTGATCATCTCCCCAATGCTGTTTAACATTTATATGAGGCAGCTGGGTGGGGTCATTAGGGGGTGTGGGGCTTCGTGTCATTAATATGCTGATGACACCCAGCTCTACATCTCCTTTTCACCAACTGCAGGTGATGCTGTCCTGTCCCTTCAGCGCTGCCTGGAGACCGTACTGAAATGGATGCAGGAAAACGGGCTGAGGCTGAATCCGGATAAGACGGAAGTTCTGAGAGTGGGTGCCCCCGCGGTAGGTGGCTTGGGTGACTCTCTCACATTTGGGGGGGGGTCACTTTGGCAGCGAAGAGTGGGGTTCGTAGCTTGGGCATACACTTGGACCCGACGCTCACCATGGAATCCCAGGTGGCGTCGGTAGTCCGCACTGCCTTCCTCCATCTTTGGCGGATTGCCCGACTGCGACCCTACCTTGACTCGGGGGCGCTCACCACCTTGGTACATGCGCTCCTAATCTCAAGATTAGATCACTGTAACGCGCTCTACGTGGGGCTGCCTTTGAGGCTGATGCGGAAACTTCAGGTGGTGCAGAATGCTGCGGCCAGACTCCTTACTGGAGTGAGAAAACGCCATCATATTTCTCCAATGCTGGCCGCATTGCATTGGCTGCCCATCTGTTTCCGCGTCAACTTCAAAGTTTTAATGCTTACTTATAAGGCCCTAAACGGTTTAGGACCTCGACACTTGGCGGAACGCCTACTTCCACCAAGGTCTACCCAGATCACCCGTGTGAGTCAGGAGGTGAGGCTGAGGAGCCTGACGCCGAGAGAGGCCTGGAAGGAGAAGACATGAAACCGGGCCTTCTCGGCGGTGGCTCCTCGCCTTTGGAACAATCTCCCTCCGGGGATTTGCGCGGCCCCTACGCTGGGCATCTTTAAAACCCAATTAAAAACATGGTTGTTCATTCAGGCCTTCGCTCTAGCCAATTCTTGATTTTCTTCTTCTTGTTATTTTTCCTATTTTTTAGTTTATTGCAGTTGTTTTGTATTAGCCATGTATTTGTTGTGTTTTATTGTTTAATTTTATATTGGAAGCCGCCTAGAGTGGTCCATCGATCCAGATAGGCGGGGTATAAATCAAATAATTATAATAAATAAATAAAAGGGTGTATGGCCCTCTCATAACCTCAAATTTATGAACATGGTAGTTCCTTCTTTTGTTTTTTAATGTGGGTTTTGCTTACTGGTGCAGTTAAGGTGACATTAAAATGATTCAACAACTTTTATCCTTGATACATATGCAACCTTTAAAAGGTTTACTTCAAAGAACAAGATAGAGAACAGAAACTTACCACACCGTTGAAACACAAGTCAAATTCTCAATTGCTGACAGCAATTTTTAATTCACTGAACATTTTGGGTTAGTATTCATAAAGCAAAAGATAAATTAAAATATTTAACTCTGGCTGTCCACTTGACTGTAAATAAATAAAGACACAAGTCTTGGAATACAGTTTTAATACATCTCAGATACTGAATGCAATCAACAAAGTCAAGGGCAGGATTATTCTTCTGTCACAGGTCTGGAAGTATGTCTACTTCCATGTCTTCAAAACTAAAGTTTTGCCAAGTTGTGACAACTTCTCGTTAACTCCCATGTTTTAAGCACAGTTGCTTTGTTTACTGGAAACTAGATTAGTATTTCAGGTGCAATAATGATATGCTCTGGGAAAGCAGCATGATGTGTAGAAGGTAGTAGACTTCAGATAGAAAATGGTGTTTGTTTGCCAATTATGTAGTTGCGTAATGTCCAGAAAGTACTGCATAGACTTTGGTGAGTTTTTATCCCATTACAGAGTTTTTATGGGAATTCACCTAACACAATGTCTGTGTTAAGACCAGTTTTGTGAAGAGTAATAGCAACCTTTAAGCTCTTATGTAACATAACATGTGTAATGTACCACAAAGGCTGTACTTTATTAAGTAACAGATATGTCTTTTAAGAATGCATTGCTGAGCAGCAAGACCAAGACCATTTACTGACTAGTATTCCTGTTTACTGTGTATGGACATGAAAACTCGATAGTGAATGAGGCCGAGAGAGAAAAAAAATGTTTAATTTGAAATACAGCATTGGAAGAGAGTTTTAAGGATATCATGGACTGCCAGAAAGACAAGTGTGTACAAGCCTGAATTCTCTCTAGAAGCAAACTGAGGCTATCGCTGAGGAAATCTGTAATGCTGGGGAAAACTGAAAGGCAGCAGAAAAAGAGGAAGTTCTAGCATGAGATGAATTGCCTCTATAAAGAAAGATATGAGCTTCAGCTTCCAAGACCTGAAAGGGCTGTTAACGACAAGATATTTGCAGGTCATTATTTCACAGGGTCACTGTAAGCCAGAATCATCTTAATAGTACATAACAAGAATAAAGTTTATGCTTTGCAAATATAACTTTCCTTGCAGCCTCACTAGGCTAGAACCAATGTTGCTCTGAGGCACTACTGCCAATGCTACTGGACCCTCTCCTCTCCACCAGCAGCTTACTGAGCTGATGAAAATTGGCACTTTAAAGGGTTCTGTAGCCCTCCAAAGCTTGTTCGGGGGGGTGCATGATTTGGGGGGATTATGCCTCTCCTGATTCCACTGACAGATTCATCAGTAGAATCACCCTTTTTGGATTCTGCTTACTAAGTGCTCCCTAACTTACGTATCATACCTTTGTATAGTTTGTAACTTAGGGGGCATTTTTTGTTTTGTTATTGGAACAGGGAATTCTTTATCTGTTTGTCACCACAGGAGCTTTTCATGCTTCTCAGAGTTCACAAATTCACTTGTTTAGGTCTTTTGGAAAGTAAGCACTGGCTTTGTTTGGAAATATAACTGTTTAATCATAAAAGTCTGGCTGGATCTACACCAAACTGGGTGTAGTTTGGCCATAAAATGCACTGGTGTTTACTTTCAGGGGTTGTCATATCCTTAAGGTATCATGAGAATCTGTTGGTCTGTGTTCTTTCCTATCTGTTTAATTTAACTGTGTCCTGACTCTCCTCCTTTGAGCCCAGAATAACTACATTTTCAATATATCTAAATTAGGTATTTTTAAACCTCCTCACTATTATAGAAAGCTTCCAATAAATAGAACAGAAACTACTGTAAGACGATGAAATAGATGTTTGCACATAGCATTTTAGCCATTCAAGCAGGAAGATGATGAAAAAGAAACAGAGTATAATATAAAAACTATTAAAATTTCATCCAACACAACTCCTAGAATAGAAGGATTTGTGAATATGGAACACAGGACACTATGAAAGCCAAGTGACCATGTTGCATCTAACCTTCTTGATCCTCAAGAATTCTCTGCTTATAAATGATTGAAACTGAGAGGAAGGATGCATAGCTTTAAATCAAGGGAAGGCAATTCTTATACGTGCTGACTTCATTTTACCATTTTTCAGTATTTAGACCCCTTCATCCATGCCATATAGTAACATCTCTTCCATTTGTTCCAGAAATATGAGGGTCTGCAGTTTAAGTTCCCTTGGTAAATGGCTAAATTAATATTGTAAATGGAGGTTCAATCACTTTTGCAACTGTAAATATGCTTTGTAAAATCTAGCTTACATACAGTATGTTCTTTTCCTTATTTTTCCAGCCACCTCTTGCTGAAAAAGTTCAGGATATTTTGAGTAGTTTCACCCCTATATTAACACAGTAATGACAGTCTGCAAATATCTACTTGGTGCTGTAAAGACAGTTTTAATTCTGTAATAGCTATAAGATCAGTTCTTTTAAAATGAAAGGCAAGCATAACAACTGGATAGCAATCATGGCCAACTCTTTGCTCTGACTGCACCTGTTTGTGCCATCAGAAACATAACTGAGTTCCAGGTGGGCTTTTTCACCTAAATTTACATGCTGAGAATTACCGCATGTCCCACCACCTGAGAGATGTCACAATAATTGCCTGTAAATTCAAATGAAAAGTAATTGTGACTAGAGTGGGGGTATTCATAACTGAATACAGATATCCCTCCCACAGGTGGAAATAACAAGGTTTATCTACTCACCATTCCGCTGCTGACACGAGCTTGATGGAGCCTTCCTATTGCGCTGTTATCCGCAACAGATCAGCCACTCCTGGCAGGAGGCAGGATGACAAGCCTCTCTGCCACGTCGCAGAGTGGCCAATCCATTGTGGAGAATGCCGTGATGGGAAGGCTCCGTCGAGCTCACATCAGCAGCGGAATGGTGAGAGGACAGTCCAGTCCCATGGGGCCAGACCCTCGTTATTTCCACCTGTGGGGGTATATTCATATACAAATACCCCCATTTCTAATTGTGACATGATTTTTAAAGCCTAGAGGTAGCTAAACAGTGAGTGAGTCAGATTACTGAATGTTATTATCCAAGGGAATACGAGCTACGCATTGTTGGCGCCCCAAGCCCCTTATAAGCAAATGATTCAACTTGAGCAGCTTTATTAAAACCAACCAAAGTTTATTTATAGAAGTCTATACATTTGTAACGAATGCTGCCAAGACATCAATGAATTAAAGCAAAAAACCCATCCCTCCCAATGAGCCTGTGTTGTCATCACTCACTGTCACATGCACTTAAAGAGGAGAAAATGTTATACCTTCATACACAATAGGTTTCATAGCTATCCGAGAAAAATGACTCTCTCAATGCATTATTCCCAGTGAAAAAATGACGGTGTCTACAGATTCTTCTGTCACTTCCATGAAAAGCAGAACCTCTTGCAAAGGATATATGAGGGCAGCTACCTCATTCACTTGTGTCCATAATACATTTCCATTTTATTTTATTTAATCAAGTCCTCAAACCAAATTGGAAAGGGAAAAAGTGATGCTTTATTTACAATTTAGGGAAGTCTTTCGTACTTTGATTATGAAATTCAGTCTTAGAAAGTATGCTTCTATTGCAAAAAATTTTTCTGGACAGCCACAATATAATTAGGTGGAATCATAAAGACCATTACTTTAACCTGTGCTTGCCCTTTCCATGCATCTATGCCACCGATTTGTACAAATCAGGTGAGCAAGCCAAACCTTCCAAGAGTTTTACAATTACAGTACATAGTTCTGTACCAGAAACGTCAGTATAAAGGAGACTGGCTGCTACAGATTATGTTACTGGGAAAAATCAAGTGGTCGAGATTCCTATCTACATAATATATCATGATGGCTCCCAAGTAACTATACACTGGCAGACTTTAGAAATCCACTTTAAAAAAGGATGTTAGAAATACGTAAGTAAATAAAAGTACACAAGAACTTGAGAAAAGTAGCTTAAAAATGGAAAAGACGGAAAACAGAATGATTACATATTTACACAATAGTCCACAATGTGTATTATATGGACTATATAGTAAATAAAGCCACACAGTTTACACCACTTGACAAGAATCCACTTCAGGAGGAGGACTGCATTTCCCCCCTCTTCATTTTACCTGGTTTTACAGTTACATGTCTCCCTACTCTTAAATAAGGAATTAAAGGGGGAAAAACAGCATTAAAACATTAAGAAGGATTCCATGGATCACAGCCATAAGATTCAAATGTCTGTTCTGATGTAAGCAAAGACTTTATCAGCCTGTGTAAAAATGTTTCACATGTATTAGAAGTTCTCCTGATAACCCATTATCAACACCCCCAACACACACACACATCCCATTTAGGGCATTAGCACTAGTGTGACCTCTCCAATGTCTAGCATGTTACTGACAAATGTGGTTCGTAATTCATATTAATCCACTGTACTTCATTTAGAAGAGCTCTTTGATAAAAATGTCATTTATTTACACTTTGATCTTTACACCTGAGTGATTATCAAGCAGTCATCTTGTTCCCAGACATTCCATACATACAATCCTTGTGCTAGAGTTCGACTGCACATGTTGCAACAGTTACACATGGGTCAAACATCTGCCCTCCTTTATTGGTTATTTCTTCTGTATCCTTCCTATTCCATAAAACAAAATTTAAAAAATGAAACAAAACAGAGAGGCAATTTTTTTAAATCGGCCTGGGAAAAGGGTCTTATGATGAAACAGACTAACACACTGGATGAATTTCATAGCTTTGTGGGCAGGGGGGACAAGATCTAAATAGATCCTAGGGAGGATAAACTGTCCCCAACTGACTGCAGCACATAATTCAAGAGTATGTGTTTTACAAAGCACCGGAAGAAAAAGCAGGAAAGAATTTTGATGAGAACAGAGAAGTATGAGGTTACAGTTATCATCTATTTTTTGTTTGTAAAAAAAAAGCACACACAAAAAAATGAGATTTACTAAATTGTCCCTGCTCTTTCAGATGCTCAGGTGTAGCTGACAGAAATTCAAGACAGCGCCAGAGATTTGTGACACACAGATATAAATTTCCTGCAGGTTAAAAATGATAAAAAAACTGGAAAAATCTTTTTTGCACAATCCAACCCCATGCCCACAAAAATGTACACTTTCAACCTAAATCAGTTTGTAAAGATGTCCTTCTCCAAAGGTAGGAGTTGGCAAGGGGTGGGGGAGAAGTAGAAGGGGAAAAGTGCAGGTGACCTTCACAAGAGGTCTTGTGCCACTGTTTTAACTTTCTTTGCTTGTGGTGGTGAGACAGCCAAGTGCCAACACTGCTTCTGCCACCAATAAGTTTCTGCAGAAATCCAGGTTCCAGGTTAACACTGAAGACACACAGCCAACGCCAATTAGCTGCATTAAAAAACAACAACACCCCCACCCCAATAGCACAGATCATATTTGTGGGTGGCAGAAGGAAAGAGCAAGAGGGAGGTCTATACAGTAAAGAGTCAATGGTTTATATTACAGATGACTGGCAGTTCTGAAGAGTCTCTTCCCAGCTCTATTGCTGCTGCAACCCAGAAGGGCAAACTGAAGAGGGAAGAAAATAAAGGGTGAGACATCATGTAGCATGCAGGATCAGAAGCAGCCAAGAGCAGGTATGCTCAAATTAGCCCCCGCCTTTTCTTGTAGTCTTCCAGGTTCAGTGATCGCCGAGGGGCACCATCTTTTGCTGGGGGAGCCTTGGAGGTGATAGCCAATGTTTTGGACTCTGTTGGAAGACAAGGCACAAAGGTGTGCATAACTCAGGAGATTTCAGTTTGGCAGGCTCATTGTTAATTCCCAACAAGCCAGATTAAGGTAACAGGTCCCTTCTGACAGCTGTCTACAGAGGATCGGCACAATTATTAACACAGTGGAAGAATTATGATGTAAGAAAAAGACATCCCAGTGCAAAGACACAGAGGGGAATAAAACCAAGGCTACGAAACTAGCTCCCAATTTCTCCAGTTCAGCCAACTTGTCAGACACAAAATAAGGAAGTAAAACAGGGACAAGAAACAGACAACCTTCTAGATGTTGGAACTATTAATCTGATTGGTCCTAACTAACATACCTAAATTAAGGAATGACTGGCATTCTAGTCCAGTATCTGGATGGTTACATGTTTTCCCCATTCCTGCAAGTAAAGTCTGTGACACTGTGTGGTAGAACCTGCAGAGAGCAGGGGTGAAATCATTACTTGTTTTCCCCCCTTAAACTGTGGACTTCTGATAAACATGTTTTCTGGAAGGTAGTAGAAACCTAGGCTGTCCTCCGCCTTTTCTGCCACCTTCACTTTTCTTTCTTCCAGTGGCAGCACCAACCTGAACTGGGAACCTGGAGATCAATCTTCACATCAAAATCATGCACTTTGAAGAGATCCTCTGAGAGGTCACTGGCTGTTTTCGAATTCATATCTTTATCTTTCCCTTGACTCTGAAAAAGGAGAATTTTTTTCAATATCAAGTAGCACAAAAAGGTAAGTGGGAGGAACTGAAACCAGAAGTGAGAAAACACATTCATAGATACTATGTCTGAATGGCTGCAGAACAGTCTATCGTTTATACACTTTTTCCCATTGTGAGCCGCCTTGGGTTCCCTCACTGGGAGAAAGGCGGCCTACAAATGATACAAAATAAATAAAATAAATACACAAAATTGACTCATTCCATTCTCAAAGAAGAGTCAGAAAAATCTACAGTAAATTGCAGTAATTTCATACCACTACAGTTACATTAGGATGAGTTGGTTAGAACTGAAAGAGAAGAAATACAGCAGGAACTAACAGGAAATAGAGGCAGCCACTTGCCTTGGTCATGTCCTTTGGAGCATCTGGCAATACACCAGATCCATATTTTGCATTCAGCTGGGCAAGGATAGCAGCTTGGACAGCAGGATCTCTGGACTGTGGAAAAAAGAAGAGATGTATTATCGCCTTGACTACTACCTCTTCTAGTATTCATATTCTTTCATCATTCAGCATATATGCATATTCCACACCTCAGGAAGCACCATCGTTAGAACTATGTGAATACACTTTTAAAAGGAACACATTTTGTTATATTCAAAGCATGACGTATGTATTGTGCTTCAACTATACAATCTTGATTTGCACACCAATAAAAACAGGTCACAAATGCACTGCTTTTCCATGACTACTGAGTATAATGTTGATCCTAGAACATGCTGGTATGGTGAATTAGTGCCTCAACATTATATATTGTAAGATCTCAATAGTTGCAAATATGAACCTGTCTGTTTATGAACAGTTTGCCATGTTTTCTACTGCTCTTAATGCCTGCACTGTACCTACATTAGAGACTATCGTGGGTTTACATTGCCGCCGTGTAAAGGGATCCATCTGCTGGTTTCTCATACTGTGACTTTCAGCCTGCAGAGAAAAATATTAAATATGAAATAAGCAGTTTTCTTGCCCTTATTTATCCTTTCTTTAGCACTGCCTCAACACAAGACCACAGGATTAAGATTACCTTAAAAATCAGAGACAGCAAGTTTTCTCAACAGTAGTAGCTGAGGGCATGATATGGAAAGAGGCTATTGCCTTTCCCTCCATCTGTGAGCTTTCCAAAGGCATCTAGTTGGCCACTGTGAGAAACAGGATGCTGGGCTAGAGAGGCCTTTAGTCTGATCCTGCAGGGCTCTCCTCAGTGAGAAAACTCTAGCAGGTCTTCATGAAAAACATGCCCAATGCAAGCAGACATCTGATGATTTAAAAATGTCAGTACCTTCCCTTTCTTCCCTTTAAACCAAGGAGAACAGGCTTATGGCATTCTGGTGTCTAATGAGCATTTCTTAAATGCCTGGGATTAAAGACTTAAAGGACTGGATCCAAAAAACAAGAGGAAAACAAGTGCTAGTTCCACCCCACAAATCTTCCATGAGGAGTTCATGTAGTGTCACAAAAGGTGTGTTGTATCACAGGTCTTGTGCTTCTGACGGTGGAAGCAGTTTGTGTAGGCTCTTTCATAAACAGTTCTCAACATTTAGATTGTGTGTGAGTGTGTGTGTGCACACATAGCTAGTAGGTGGGACTACTTGTGACAAGAATCTTCCCTCATGCTTTCCTCATGTGCTTACTTAAATAAAGGAACTTTTCAAACCATCACAATATATCTTTAGAAATACATCTATCCTCTTCCTAGCTCCACTCCAATATCTTTGTTGGTGCTACAACTGCCTGCACATAGCCTATCCACATAGCCTGTCTATTTTCTGCAAAGGCACCTTGCCCGTATCATCTCAGGAACCACAGTGTTGCTTCTCTTACCATGTGTGTGTATATGTATGGTGGTTAAGATGTGTTAAGTAGGAAAGAAAATGTATGTGTGGAGGAGAGGCCAAATATAGTTAAGAGTGCTGCATTTTCCCTTCCTTTCTGTCTTTTTTCTTTCTTTAAATCATCCCAACTCTTTTGTGGTTGAGATAGTTTCAATATAGAAATACAATAGCACCACCAGGCTGCAGGCAGCATTGGCTCTTTTCTCATCCCAGGTAAACATAGCATGGCAAGACAGTTTTCAACACTTTCTGTTTTATGCCCACAACTACTTTTTCAGACCTAGTGCATCTTCCAGCATGAAGGCTCACAAGAATGGCAGTCTGATATAATTCTATATAAACACAACTCTCATTTGAAAAAAATGAAGCAGTACAAACAGCATTTTTTTTTCATTAATCAGAAAATTGTGGTCCCTGAGACTTGGTAATTATTAACTGATACTTTGCAACACTTTGGCATGTTGCCCAAAAAAATGTATATAAAAAGCTCTCTACGTAAGGGTGGGGAATTGTTTAGTTCATATAAACACCCATCTTTAACTAAGTATTTTGTCTTCCCTTTATATTTCTCCACTGAACAACACTCACCACTAATGCCTTTTCAGACTCCACAATATTCCATTCTCTATTTCTCTGGTTGATATAACTGTAAAAAAGAAGTAGTGTATTTATTCATATTCCACCATGAAAGCAAAGAACTATCTCAAATTCACACAAAAAGTTTAAGGCCATCTGTTCCTCATATATATTTGTCTTTTCAGGACTTAAAGATCACTTATGAAAACCATAAACTAAGGAAATTTTATAACAAGAAGCTACAAGATAATTTCAGAGATGGGAGCCCACAATAAGAGAGTCCTAAGACCAGTAATAATGATTAGAGACCAACCTGATGGCTGAAATGTTCTTTGTCCGCTGGCGATCCAAAGCCTCTGCCCGTTCCTCCAGCTCATTAAGCTGGTCTTGAATCTGTTTTGCCCTGTCCTGATCTCCCATGTCCTCTGCCATGGCCTTCAATAAAGAAATGTAACTTACATCTGAAACATCATCATTGCAGAGTTGATTAAAATGCATACAAAAGCACAGTCATGTCTGCTAGACTGCAAAGTCCCTCATTTTGAACATATAACACTTCAGAATTAACCTTCATCTAATTCAGAAGGCAAAAAGAACAATGATTGGTGTGCTTACAAATTTTACCTCATTTAACAGAAGAGCAGCAATTAAAGTTAGCAACTATCTCATAGTAAAAGATATACTGCAACCTGGGCCTAGTAGACAATGAGGAAAATTTAAACAAGCTGTACCTATCTTAGAATTATAGAATCATAGAAAAGTGAAGTTGGGGCCTACAACACCTACAACATCAACCCAGGAATGCAATCAAAGCATATCTGCCAGGTGATTGTCCAAGTTTTTCTTGAATGCCTCCAGTGCTGGAGCACTCACCAACTCCTGGGACAACTGGTTCCACTGTTGTAGTGCTCTAACAGGACGTTTTTCCTGATATTGAACCAGAATCTGACTTCCTTTAACCTGAGCCCATTGTTGTGTGTCCTGCACTCTGGGATGACCAAGAACAGATCTTGCCCCTCCTCTGTATGACAGCCTTTCAAATACTTGAAAAGTGCTATCATATTACCCCTCAGTCTTCTTTTCTCAAGGCTAAACATGCCCAATTCTTTCAGCCTTTCCTCATAAGGTTTGGTTTCCAGCCCCCTGATCATCATCTTCTTCTTCTTCTACAAAAGTGAACCTCATCACTGTGTGTGCACAATCAAAACTATTTTATTCAGGTAAAAGCACAGTCATTTACAGAAACTGTGGGTATAAAAGCACTCACAGCAGTAACACTTGATACACTTATCTCAAAAAATAACCACACATAAACTGTTTAAGAATAGTTAGAAAGACACGCCCAAGGCAGTCGTATCTTGGGGAAGAGTGGCAATTTTTGAGTTGCCATGATTTACCTTCTCTTTCAGCAGCTGCGTTTTCTTCATGGCATAGTTTGGTGGTGCTTTTCGGAACCTCTCTTTCTCTTTTACTATCTACAAACAAAAAACAGAGAACACAGAGTTACACAATACCTGGACAACAGAATGAGAGGCCAACCGCCTGTTAATTATCACACAGCTGCTCTTCTCATCATTCAAGCTTTTGCAAGACAATATGGATATAGTTCCTATATCACATGCTTTATGGCCTGCTTCCTTGTCTGCTCTCAACCTATATTTATGAAGTGTCCGAACAGTAAAGCATCACTTTAGTACTTATTTTGTCATGTTACATACAAACTTCAACCTCACTGATGTGCTAGATTCAAGATCTTTACCTTTACAGTAACATGATCACAGGGGCAACTCTTCTTGAACAGTACTAATTTTGTCAGTAGGAAGATACTGCAAAACCCCACCACCCCTGCTCCAAACCTAGTCCTTACTCCTTTACTCATAACAATGCAGAGTATAAGTCATATTTAGTTGTGATAAAACTTCTATGAATCGTACACAGGCAAAGCAAAGGTGATACACAAAGCAGGACACCTTAAAGGGAGCCTTTCAGCAGGTCTACTTTTATAACAAAAGTAAAATGTCTAACCCATTTTACACAGTTATAGGACCTAAACATGGCGCCTCAGAGTATCTAAGACCTCACCTACCTTCCTGTTATGAACCTTCAATTGAATGGTTCCAGCTCAATAGTAAATTTTCTTCATTTACCTCCTCAATGTCCTGGTCATTAAATTTGTAGTTGAGAGCTTCTTTGATGGACACTTCCTTCTTGTTTATCTCATCTAACGTGGGTAGCTGCATCCCAGCAGAGAACATCTGATGGGGGGGAGGGTTCCGAAAAATATATGCATCAATGCTGTATTCTTAAAAAACCCACAAAAATTATGGAAACATTCTTAAAAACACTTACAGCTTCCTTCCACTTCATAAACTCACTCTCTGTGAATTCTTGATTGGAGACAAATTCTAAACGGAATACTCGCTGATCACTGCCATGCCTGTTCAGAGAAAAATTAGTCCTTAAGAATCTCGGTAGAGGGGATGTGACAGAGATGTACCACGTAACGTATATTTATAACAGCCTATTAAATGTTCCTATGTATACTAGACTGTATTACATTAAACCAAGTTCTATCCTTTTCAAGGTAAGATACAGCCTGAATCCAATAGCACTGATGGGGAAAAACTGGTACCAAGAGCAATATAAATACTCATTTTGTCTTATACCAGTGTTTGCTTGCCATTCCATGTTCATTATATCTCTAGGGAAAGGAAAGAGTAAGTACACCAACTTCCTACTGGTTATAAAGAAAAGGATGCTGGACTTTAATTCACTCAAAGGAGTTCTTTCATTTCAAATTGATGCAATCTAAATTCCAGTTTTCTTACCTTAACTGTAACCCTTTGTTTGTCCTGGTACCCCCAAGCTGATAAACCTTTGCAGTTTCTACAACACCAGTTATTTCTGCCACCTATAAAAAAAGAATATGAGGAAAATAAAAGAACACCAATGTATACAGACACAGACACAGACATTTTAACTAAGAAAGAAATCTGAAATCCAGAACCAAAATAAACTGACTTGAGAAATATGAAAATCAGAGCTGGACTACTCTGAAGTGGAACTGATATCAATCTAACCAATTCTGAAGATTCATTAGCAACTTGCATTCAGAAGAACCAGATAGTATGATGCAAACCACTTTATTCGAGCTACCTTGAGTGTGGCGAGATCAATGAGAAAGAGTTTTCAGACTGGCAGCCTTAGTTTCTAATCACCCTGAACTATTCTATGAGGAAGATCCAATCTCAGTGGTCAGGAGAAGGGTGCATTCAGTAATATATCATAAGCCCTTTTGCTAGTTTGTTTCAGTAGAAGAAACATTAAAACTTTTTAAAAGTCTATGACACATGGATCGGTGAATTCACGACAAAGTGTGCCTTGTGTCCATCACCCATTTCTCTCCTACTGCATGTTTTGTAACTTTAGTGCTACCTAAGCAAAACTCCAAAAGCTGTAAACTGCATTTAATTCACCATAATTTCCCGACTTCTGCATGTTTGTCTTGGGACACCTATACACACGTGCTGTTTTCACTCTAACTGTCCCTAAACTTATGAAGGAAATCATTCAGCTCCACCAGTTTATGCACTACCCTCTCTACCCAAAGTACAGGTATAATTCTGCAAATTGCACTTTCCTTACTGCCATTCTTTGTTCTTTTCATGACCACCCACAGAACACAACAAAGAAATAAATGTGCCCTTTTTGAGAAACTCTCAAGTTGTAATGTTTGCCCTAGTTAAAAAAACCCTTGTGTTCATCTTCTAAAGCAGATCAGGTCTGATCTCCTCAGAAGGTGCAAATAATCCCTGCAAATTCATCCAGTTCTAAAAAATAAAATAAAAGTTACCAACAGTTTTCTTTAAAAAACTGAAATTTAGAATAAACCAGGAATTTTGTTGGGAGCCCTCTTAAGCAGGATCCCATCATCTTTAATGGTAAGAATATATTTTAACTTAACTTTTGACTATGGTAGTTAATTATTTGGGCATAAAACTCACTAAGGTTTAATATGACTGATCAAGAGTCATCATATTAAGCCTAGCTATCTCATTATTTCGTCTCTTGGAAATAGCAAGACAGCTCAGGGAAATGTAATACATATACCCTTACACCTATGTATCTGCCACTGAGCAGCTATAATCTTTCTCTATATCTACAAATTCCATCTATTTGTAACAAAGAAAAAAATGAAAGAGCTGCTGGATGTAACACATATCAATGGAAGGTACAATGATTTGGGGGGGGGGTTCCAAGTTGAAATTTGGATTTCTATGAAATGAATTATCCCCCAGATCTTTCCAAGCCACACTGGGGAATCTTCTGAATTGCTGTATTGCAGATCAGATCAAATCATGTTCTTAGTGCACACTGTTAATCTGGATGAACCCCTAAATAGATATGCTTGATATAAAGCAACATCAAAGACAGTGTGGTAAAAAATAGTAAAATAGGAGCTGCAATTACCCTTACATTATTCAATTACATGATTTTTCTTTAGCATGCTTTGTGCAGGTAACTTTTCAAAAGTATACTCGCTCCTTAATGCTGAAAGCAATTTGACCTGCTCAAGGAATAAGCTCACCCTGTAAACTGGTTTGCTGTTGTGGTTTCCTATTCCAATGCGCACAAAGCAGCCAGTGACTGTTTTAGCAAAGAAAGGCATGTGACACCACCGTTCTAGTTTGTGTCGAGATAATCGAATCCGGTTCAGTTCTTCAGGCAAGGACACTGGTTGCGATTTGGGGGGAATTTCTTCTTTCCTGATTGGGCAGGAGAGAAAGAAGACTATTCACATCTTCAGTAAGAATCCATAGTGCCACATTCAGAGACCAGTATTCCAAAACTGATTTTTGTCATTTAGTTGAACTACAATAGATTTAGCCGAAGAGAGACACATTTTAGATCTTTTGCTTCCAATTATTTCTAAATAACTATTATCTAATTACATATCTTGTTTGTTTTCCAAAGAGCTCAACATGGTATAGATTGTTCTCTTGTTCTTAATTTTATCCTCACAACAATCTGAGAAGTAGGCTAACTGAAAGTTCCTGATTGACTCAAAGTCATACAGCTAGTTTCATGATTAAGAAGAGATCTGACCTTGCACCTCCACAAAGTCCTAACACTCTAACCATTATACCACACCAGCTATAGTAGCATCTAACAAGTATATTATACATTAAGAAGAGAAGAACAGTAAAATAAAAAGTGCAACCTTTAGTGAACACAAAAGCTAGCAGCACAAACACAAATGTTATCCTCTGCCTTCAAACATAAGGAGATATTCAAGACTCACTCTTCCTCCTCATCAGAAGATGAAGACCTGGATGAACGATCAGTTTTCTCACTAGATTTATCATCTTCTTCTTCCTCTTCATCATCTGAATACACTTCACTTGTTTTTAATGGCTGCTTCTTTGCAAGCAATTCAGCTACAAAGAAAGGAAGAAAATTATTTCATTTTCTGTTCAGTTTCTCTTTGTCTAGCAGTCTGCCTTGAGATTCCATTAGTTTAAAAATATGTAAGCACAAGACATGCCTATATACTGAGCTAACCAGGAGATCAAGTGTCCCTAAGCAACTGAATTTTTATCACCATAAACCTGAAGAATAAACTATTTTTTCCACATTCTTCTATGGCCACAAGAGAGGTTCTAAAAATATCACCAACTCATTCCCACTTTAAAGTGCAAGCTACTTTAAAAGAGAATTTGAAAACAACATGATATGGTCTGGCAGCCTGCTGCACAAGGGAAAAATCTCAGCAGGCATATGCAAGCCTTAGACGTGTCTAAAGAAGCTCTTGGGTACAGCAATTTGCAACTTAAAGAATGGCAGCATACTATCCAAATAGTTCTGTTCCATTGTGTTAACTTGGCTGACACAAGTTAACTATCCAACATTATTGCAAGTGATGGGGAAACTTGTGCTTTTATTCAAGGTATTGTTTCTTATTTCTAAAAAAAACCAAACTCTGTTTTGAATCACTTTACATCACACAGTTTTTTGACCTGATTTTGGTTGTGTGAATTGCAGGATTTTTGTATTCTGTATGCAGGAGTATACCTGTTCTGTTCTTCCGCTTTTCCCTTTCTGCTTTCAGTTCTTCCATGGCTTGGGACTTCTTATCCAATTTTTCATCCCGCTTTGACCGTCGCTCTTTATTGTGCGACATTACCTGAGGAAACACCTAGTTATAGATTATGTCTGAAGGTAACTCCAGATAAAGAGGTCTATATTAACATACAGTTCCTCTTGCTGTATACTCTTATCAAATTGTTCATAAAATATGGTTTATTATTTTGAACTTGTTTGGAATATACTAATAGCCATTAGAATCCTGAAGTCTGGAATCCTACCAGTTTTTTGTAAGGTTTGTGTAACTGATTGCAGCTAATTGTGGCCAATTGATAAGTCCTGAAATACATCTTGGTGTGTGACCAGGCATGAGACTGTGATGCCACAGCATCTGCCAATTAGCTACTACAAATTAGGCAAACTGTACATGAACAGCCATAGGATTCTGGCCAATAGCTATAAAATGGCAAGATTCCAAGCCATCAATTATTTCAAAATGATCTGACTTTTAGATTTGATGACTAAACTCATCCAGTATGTCCCCTTCCCAGAAGGATTAAAAGAGTGAATTTTTGGAGTGAGCAGTCATCCTCAATCTCATTACAGTCGTTCCCCGCTGGACGATTACCCCGTTTAACTATGAATCCGCTTAACGTTGACGTTTTTGCGATCGCTTTTACGATTGCAAAACGATGGTTTAAATGGGTTGTTTTCGCTGTGCGATGATCGGTTCCCTGCTTCGGGAACCAATTTTTGCTTTACAACGATCAGCAAACAGCTTATCGTTGGGTTTTAAAATGGACACCAGCTGAAGAAAATGGCCCCGTGCTGTTTTTAGGACTGATTTTTCGCATTACAGGCACCAAAAATGGCCACCCCTATGGAGGATCTTCGCTGGACGAGCCGGTATTCAGCCCATTGGAACGCACTGAATGGTTTTCAATGCGTTTCAATGTTTTTTTTAATTTTGTTTGACGTTTTTGCTCTACAGCGATTTGCTGGAATGAATTAACGTCGTCAAGCGAGGAACCACTATATCTCCATATAATTTGGATTACAACCATCATCTTTCCTTATTATGCAACATGTTTACTGTAACTGATGGAAGCTTTAGTCACAAAATCTGGATAGTATCCAGTTAGGAAATATTCTTTTAGACAAACATAAATGCATTTGTTGCATATACGAGCAAACCCACCTTAATAGCATGAGGGTTTCTGAGTGTGTGAGGGAATTTAGGAACAACACTATCAGCAAGCTAGACTCTGTAACAAATTTAGACTCCTGGCAGAGTCAACCTAAGAAAGAATGACCAAAACTGAAAAACCAGAGTAAGATGCATCTGCGCTATTCATGAATTAAGATATCAACAGAAGAGAACCAATAATTCTTGTGGTGATGGGAGCAAAGAAACTATAGAAAAACAAGCAGAAAGACATCAATAGTAGTGGAATATGACACTGTTGGAGGATGTTCCTTAGAGAATGGCAGTGAGACTGTGTGTGTCTTATCTCCCTATATTTATAATTCTTTTAGTTGTTTTACTTTCTCTTCAAACTATAAACAACCCTTTCTCCAAGGGCCTGGAAACCCAGAAGCCTGGAGCACCAAGGTAAACTACTGTTCACACCTCCATTTTAAAAGCGCTTTCATTTTCAGGGCTGGCTTTTCTATAACCCTTTAATTATTTTAACACTGTACACACACAAAACTTCACATCTTGTTTGCTTGATTCAAAGGAACCTAGATGGCTCTTTATATAAAGAAGAACCAAGGGCAATGAAGTAGAAAATGAGATGCCTCAACACTAGTGGCAGAAAGATTAGTAAGTGTTCATTCCAGTTGAACAATCATTTTTCTTTGCCACCACAACATTGCTTGAAGTGCTGTCAGCCAAGCATTATTACTGTCTACGTGAAACTGTTGTATGAGGACATCCAGAGATTTTTCAGAGTGAGATGCCCTCAAATGAGACTCTGCTCTATTTCTATTTTACACATAAGTTAAACGAGTTAGTACAAATGTTAATTGGTTCTGAATTTATACTAGGCTATGCTGCTCTAGTTATCCATGGTCTGGTAACCTTTAAATAAGACAACCATGCTGAGTTATACATGAAGCTGCATTGATGACAGTTTGGAAAATGCAGCTAGTTCCGAACATGGATGTTAACTGGTGCCAAGCACTAGGAGAATGCTACATTTTTGCATTGCCAACTGCATGAGTTCTCAGTTTCTGGGCCTAACTGTTGACCTTGTGTTTTAAAAAAACATTTTATTTAAGCTACTGAGATAACTGATTTGGAGACTAGAACATAAGATTTCAGTAACGAAACAGGGCATTTTCTGACAGAGCAGATCTTCAGCATGCAAGGAAACTACACTATTATAAATGGCTTAAGAGAATTAAAGGGCTGAAAATGTCAAATGCCCTGCCATTGGACCCACAGGAACAAGAGAAACAGTCACTTAAAAAAATCTGGAATCACCTTAGATTAACAGAATTATATTCAACACTGGGTGAGAGAAGGCTGCTCGCGGATCAGATCTTCCCTTTCTTCACTCTGAAGTACTTTATATGCTTGGGGTGGAGTAACTGAACATTATGAGCTGTTAAATGTTATGTGCTTCAGGGAGTAATAATGGGAAGATGGGAATTCCTGTATATCAGGAACTATGCACAAGCAGTGGCCTAATTTCAAGTGATTACCCCTCTCACTGCAGCCTCATAAGACACAATCCATACCTCTCACTCCTCATGAGCTTTGTGGGGGCTATAAGGAGAAGGGAAGAACAGGTTGCTTACCTGTAAATATGGTTCTTCGAGTGGTCCTCCGTGAAGTCACACATATGGGTAATGCACATGCATGGACCTTTGGAACATTCTAGAGTTTAAAAGGATAGACCATTTGTCTCCTCCCCTCCCAATGTGCATGTATTAGCATGCAAAGACCCAGCCTTTTCAGTTCCACATGTTCCGCATCTTTAGTTAACAGCAAGAGCGAGGGGACCATGCCAAGATGGATTGGAGAGGAAGCATCGGTGGTAATTTGATAATAAATATTGTGGAGAGGTAGCCATGCATAATACGGAATCAGAGTAGGCTTTGATATTTTCAGAAGGGGAAGGAGAATTTGTATTCCCCACTTCTGATTCGGGCGTAGTAACGACGGCCGAAAGAGGCTTGAACTCAGATCCAGAATAGGAGGATGAATCCAAGGCAGACAGTGAAGCTGAAGGTTGGTGAGCAGGAGACTTAGGTAAAATAACTTGTGACTGAATAGGTTGAGGGCAAAAAGGCTGATTATGCAGATCAGATCTGAGGGCCGATGGCGGGGGGAACATGTTAGAAGCAGAACTGAAAATCAGATCCAATGGCAGCAGCCAAAGAGTGACAGTGCTGTTGAAATGGGGTCCAGTGCTGTTGGCTAGGATTGAAAAGCATCAGATCTGATGGGAAAGTATGGTAAAGGTGGTTGAATCCAGGGAATAAGGAGGCGGACTGCTGCCAGCCAGATCCAAAAGCAGATGACTCTGAAGGCTGTTTCTGATGCTGGAAGGAAGCAGAGGTATTGGGAACAGAAAAATGAGCCCTTTAAGGTAGTGAAGGGGCATTACAATGGTCATGTCTCTGACATTTCCGATGCTTTGAATCCAATGATGTCAGCTTCACCATGGGAGTGAAAAGGTGGAATCTCGAATCCAGGAAGTGTGGTGGAGATGGAGAGGAGCATCAGGAGTCAGAGAACTGAGAATCCAAGTGCTGGAGAAGGAGAGAAAGCTTTCAATGGATCCAGGGTCTGCTTGAGCCAAGTTAAAGGATGAGCCAGAGAGGCAGAAACAGGATTTGCCATCGGCACTGGGTTGGGTAAGGCCGACTCCAAAGGTGGGAAGATTTGTCCAGTTTCACCTTTTAAGACTTCTTGGATGGCTTTGACAGAGCCTTAGAAGAGAGGCTATTGACCTTTTTAACGGCAATGTCTGGCATGGACAAAGAGGTGAAAGACGGCATCAAAACAGCTGAAGGCTTGGAACCTGCACAAGTTGTTTTCTCCTCCTTAATATGGGATGTTTGGGAGGTGGACAGAGTTGGATCCTTCATTTTAGGAGTGGATGGCTGGAGAAATTTAATATGTGCCACAGGCACATATTAAGGTGGAATCGACCGTTTTTAATAGCTTTGTTTGTGGCCATGTTGACAGGAATGGGGCTGGTGGGATTTGCCCAAACAGTAGAGGCACTTGGAGCGCTTGTCTGATAAAGGGACATTCCTGCCACAGACCGTACACTTTTTAAATGGTTCCCCAGGGACCACAGAAGGTGAGAACTCAAATGATGACTGGACTGGGGCACCTCCCTTATGAGGAAAGTGTACAGCGTTTGGGGCTCTTTAGTCTAGAGAAAAGGTGTTTGAGGGGGGAACATCACTGAGATGTATAAAATTATGCAGGAGATGGATAAAGTGGATAGAAGGAACTCTTTTCCCTCTCACATAATACCAGATCCAGGGGACATCCACGCCAATTGAGTGTTGGGAGAGTGAGAACAGACAAAAGAAAATATTTCTTGACCCAGCATGTTATCAGTCTGTGGAACTCCTTGCCACAGGATGTGGTGATACCATCTGGCCTAGATGCCTTGAAAAGGAGATTGGACAGATTTCTGGAGGAAAAGTCCATTGCAGATTACAAGTCATGATGGGGATGTATAATCTCCAGGCTAAAAAGGAAGGTACCTCCAAATGCCAGATGCAGGGAAGGGGTATCAGGAAACAGGTATCTAGTTGTCTCGTGTGCTCCCAGAGGCATCTGGTGGGATGACTATGAGATACAGGAAGCTGGACTAGACGGGCCCTTGGCCTGATCCAGCAGGGTTCTTCTTATGTTCTTATGGATAAAAAGGGGGGGAGTGAGTGGGAATCAAAATAAGAAAATAAAACAAAACAAAATGACAGAGAAAGAAACAGCACTATAGGAGAAGAAAGAGTTAGAATACCAATATAGTAAAAGAAAAATGGAAGGGCTTTGAATACAAATGGAGATTAACAGTAGCTCTAGTGTTCCCAAAGGTTTCCACTAGTGGCATTTAAAAAGATCTGAGAGGGCTGGGTATTTGCACGCCAATACTTGCACACTGGGAAGGGGAGGAGACAGTCTATCCTTTTAAGCTCTAGAATGTTCTGCCGTTCTGCACATGCGCACTATAAAACCCGTAAGTGTGATTCAGAGAAGCCACGAAGAACAGAAAGATCTTTCACCTGCAGATTAATATAGCTACCTCTTAAGAAACAATTACCAAAGAGTACAATTTAGATGACAAAATTACAGACGGCTAGATAAAACACATTGCTTTTCCCAAACCTTCTTTGTCAGTGATTCACTGAGACTATTATCTAATCCATTTCATTTAGGTTAAAGGAACATGATGAGCTGGAATATAAATGATGATATAACCTGCTGAAGAGTTGGTTGAAGCCTCCTGGTAAAGCAAGTAGTTTGTGATTCTTACCTGGGATTCCTGAATCTGAGTGAGCTTCTTCTTTTCCTGTTCCTCTTCTTGTTTTTTCTTTTTCTCTTTCTTTTCTTTCTTTTTTGCAGTCTTTAATTTCTTCTTTATCTCAAACCTGTGCTCCAAACAAAGAAAAAAAAAAAGAAAGAGTCTGCAATCAGTCTACAGCATCATGTGTGAGGAAAGGACTAAAACAGTACATTAAAACTCCTAAGCAAGGGAACTCGTCATAATCATGACACTGAAGTTTAAAAAAAAATGGACATTTATTACTACCACAAAAACTATACCAAAAACAAATCACTTCTGTAACAAAAGCAAAAGGTGTAGAAGCCAGGAGATGAAATACCTAAGCAGGTGGGATTCATAATTTTAAGTCACAAACATTCTTTTTTCTAACGCTGCTATTAGCAAGGTTTGGGCAGATATATGATTCCATATACCATGCTAATTTCCGAATTAAGTGTAATATCTAAGACATTTGTACACCACTCTTTCCAAATCTCCTAAATGTGCTGTAGGAGGATAGGAGATATAGCCCAACTCATGAGAGCACAAAGCTGAAGAAGAATGCAGATTTCACTATTCATTACACTTGGCTATGTGGAAGATTGCTAGTAGTACAGTATATTATTTGTACAACTGCAGATCAATCTCTCAATTATAACCTGTTACAATATCCGTTGTACTCAAGTGGCCATGTATATGTGGTAGCTAACTCTAAAGTTATTGAAGCTAAACACAAACTAGCAACTTTTTGTGCCCTGAGAAAGGGTAACAATGGATGCACCTGCATTTACATAATTTTTATGTTTGAAGGTTATTTTTGGAAAACAAATCAACGGCTGACTAAGAACTGCTTCACAGGTATCCTCCAAATAAAGACTTCCAAAGAAAAGTCTTCATGGAAAAAAAAGAGAAGACAGGAGGCAACTCCAACAGACTGGTGTGCCATGTGAAGAGTGCCCTGAAAAGAACACATAAATTCAGATCCCAGTCAAAACCTCACCTTCTCTTCAGAACCTCTCTCTTCTCTATTCGGTTAAACAACTCCTGCTCCCTTTCTTTTTCTGTCATCTGCTCTAGACGAGCTCTGTCTTCTTCATCACCCATAAGGTCTTCTCCATAGCCATCAGTAAACTCATCTTCCGATGATGAGTCGGAGTCTGAGCTGGAGCAAGAGCTATTGCTTTCTGAGTCAGAGACTTCACCTGAAATAGAACAGAAAAAAAAAACATTGCATTGGGGTAACCAAAGCACCCCAGATTAACCCCAAGAACTGCCTATAACTGCATAGCTCGCCTCTCCTCCTTGTTCTCCTTGCCCTGAATCCAAATCTAAATTTCGATTCTAAGCCCCTTCCTCAGGCAGGGATCTGTCTTTTGCTGCTTCAGAGAATACCATGCACACTGATGATACCAGAATGCTTAAAAAACCCATGAGAAAAACTGAGTGTTATGAAAAACCTAAACTACTGCCAGGAGTAACTATATGGAGAGTAAGACATCCTTTGCTCCCCAGCCCTTGATAAATCAATAGAATTCAACTGTCAATAGTTTAACTTTGCACAGAACTGAATTGCAAAACTGGAAGGAGGAGGGTCACAGAACTGAGAGACACAAGCCAAAGGTTTTCAAAACTAGAATACCTGAAGTTACATTTACATTTATTTTTATTTATTATTCACTCTATTCTGATAGCTCAAACCAATTAATAGCAGTAACACAGAAGGAACAACTTGAAGTTTGAAGAAAATATTTTTTTTCTTCAAAATATAAGTTGCTGAGAAGTTTAACACGCTCCCATTGATCTGTGTTTTTCCTTCATAAGCTCCTGCTTCTGGTGACTCCTCGATTATTCTTTCCAACTGCACTATTTCTAGAACAGAACCACACTATTTCTACAACTGAATGGCACCATTTTCTGTCTCACTCACTTCAGGTTAGAACAGCAATATTTCACTTACATTCTCCCATTAAAGTGACTTAAGCTTAACACATACACTAGGCCAAACCCTCTTTGCATAACTAATCAGGAATAACTTGATATTATGTTCATGGTAGCTACCATGATGGATGTGCTATCTGTGAAACACTTGTACCATCAATGGCCATAATGGGAACTGCATGAATGAATGCACGATTGATTGCAATTTCCTGTTGCCAGGCATAATGGCTGGCACATTTAATTTATGTAGGCATAACTTTATATTGCACCTGCACACACACAAAAAATTCCCTACTGAGTAGCAATGACTAGGTTAAAATTTATTTAGTGTACAAGGTAAAGGTGTTCCTTAGAAGTTTCATCTACTTTCAGTTTGGCAGGCACAGCAAACCTTTTGAAAAAGCTATGGGTGGAATTTTTCATCATAGCTGTTTATTACATTTGTGACTCCCCCTTGCAAAATAATGAATTAGAGGAATATGAAATATTACCTGTTATCCAATCCATTAACATTGTGTCATCTAATGATTAAAATAAAGACTTTTAAAATGACTGTGTATTCTACAAATGAATTAGGGACAATAAACTGATTGCTAAAGAATCATTTCCAACATCTGATCTAATCTTATAGTGTTGCCTTTTTTTTGCTAGTTTCAGTAACAGTGTGTGAAAATAAGATTTGATAGAGTGTACAAAATAAAGGAACTTCATTAGACATTTAAGAACAGCAACAGGCTATTTGCATACTCTAAGAGAGTCATTGAATTGTTCCAAAATAAATGATTTCCTCGAGAAGAAAAAGGACACAGAAATTGCACTGTAGGTAAGACATGCTTTTAATCCAAGAAGAAAAAGGACATAGTACAAACCATGAAAATAACGCTATTGGTATCTTATTAGGAAGATCTAAGTCACATTTTTTTCATTCCATTTCTTTCTTGTTCTAAGAAAGATATTGCACTGTAGGTAAGACATGCTTTTAATGTCAGTGCCTAGACTAAAGCAAACATAACGTTTGCATGATCTAGTAAAACATCCATGATCTCAGCTTAACAAAAAAATGAGTGCCCTGATTATAATCCTTCACATTCCTGGTGTGGCACATCCTCTTTTACCTTCTTCAGGTGCTGAGCTCTCTGCAGAACTTTCTTTATCAGAGCTGCCTGATGAGGCTGTTTTACTCGTCTGTTTCTTCATGGCTCCTTTTTTCTCTGCCTTCCCAGCTTTCCCTTTCTTTTTGTTTTTTGAACCTCCAACTGTCCACTGTAGGATGAGAAGAATGCAAGAGACTCATGGTAGGGCTGAACTGTCTCCAGACATTATCACATACAGAAACGCCAACATGTTGATTTTACAGGAGAGACTTGGCAAACATGAACTAAGACAAGCCCATATTGTAATGCATATTTCTGTTGGTGAAGTCATGTGTGCAACTGCATTTGATGGGTGAGATCATATAAATAAAAGAATTAATGCTGAAGAAGAGTCCCAAGTTGTTTTATTTTATTAAGACAAATTGAGATACACTTTTGATGGTGTTACTGTTCTAAAGATGTGTGCCTTTCTCAGACAGAACTGCTCTCCATATTTCAACAAATATGTGTAACATTTAGAAAACTGCTTCTCCAAGATGACTAGCTAGCTAGTCATTCACAATCCAGATTCAGCACACCCCATAACTGATACATTGTCAACAGTGGCTGCAGTGTCTTCCCATTCACAAGGCAGCTCCAACGTTCTGCTGGCTGAATAAAAACACTTAACTACTCCAGCATAAAATACACAGTGACTGATTGCATTCAGGTGAGATGCAAAACCATGGTTTCACATAACACACTTTGTCTTTTCTGGGCTTGTGTGTATCCTATTCTGGTCAACTACTGAACTGTAATCATCATTTGAATTCTAAACTGTAATTAATTTTAAACCACAGTGAGCAAAAACAACCCAGCATCATAAATTATGATGCAAAATTAGCTTGTTTCTATTAACTGCAGTCAACAATAGTTCATCTGGGTTCAGATACCACGATAAACCATGAGCTGTCAAGCACAGAATTAAAAGTTTTGAAAATCTGTCTTTGTGGCCATATCTCAGTGTGACTGAGACAGAGTGTGGAGGCTAGGACTGGCTTCACAACGTTCAAATATGGTTTTTCATTATACCCATACAATATGTGAAATATGTACAAATTTTGCTCCACTTTCCAACAAGTCTGTTTTGGAGGATTTCTATAAAAAAAATGTTACAGCTCTTCTAGCAGATCCCCCTTAAAGCAAAGAGAAGAGAGATAATGCCTGTATTTGTGTGTAATGGTAAGCCATAATTTACAGAAACGAGCCCAAGTAAAGGATCAGGCTCACATGCTCCCCTTTCCTTTGCAGCAGGAGTCATTGTGAGGAACAAGCCAGGTTTTAGTTCTTCTTTAACTGTTGCACTTTAAAGTAAACACATTGTTATGAAGATCAAAAAACAATCTAGGATTTGAAGGATTTTTATTTATCAACTGACTACCGTTTATTGAAAATAAAAACTTCTAGTACACAGTGAACAAGCTAAGCATCTGCTTCAGTAAACTACCGTTTACTGAAAATAAAAACTTCTAGTAAAACAGTGAACAAGCTAAGCATCTGCTTCAGTGAAACTAAGCTCTAGTACAGTATATTTTCCTCCCAGTCACATGGGGGTTCTGAGCAAGCTCAAGTCCAGCAGTTTCCACACTCCAGCTCAAGCACACAGTTGTAAATTATGCTTACCCCTACATGTGAATTCATGTGAAAATTGAGAATAAGTGAAGTGAATAAATACAGTAGAACCCCATACCTGTGGTGATGAGTTCCAAGCCCCCCTTCGCAGATGCCAAAACCCCGCAGATAACAGCAAACACTACAGTACATAGCATGATCTCTAGCTCCCTCTAGTGGCCAGTTCTAGTAAAGATATTGTGGAAATAAGTACGTATTTCTATTGTGAACCCTATCAATATTATGGTCCCTTGTAACTATATCACAGAAATACGTATTTTTGGTATCTTTTTAAAATATTTTCAGACAGCAGATGAATGAAACCACAAATACAAATCCCAGGGATATAGGGATCCTTCTCTAATATCAAAGTGTAAACTAAGTTCTCTTAGCACCATGGCAGTTTGTGTGAGAGATTTCCCTTCATATATCCATATTTGGGTTCTGTTCCCTTTACCCGTCAATGCCCTGGACACTGGGATTTTTCAATTAATATTTTATAAGTTAAAAGATATATACAGACCACTTGCGATTGCAAAAGGGAAGACTTGTACAATATTTAATACCTCTATAATTGTATACAGTGGTGCCTTGCTTAGCGATTGCCTCGTTTAACGATGTATTCGCTTAGCGATGAGGTTTTTGGAGCTATTTTGTGCTCCGTTTAGCGATGTTCCCTATGGGGAAATTTTGCATAGCGATGTTTGGGACCTTGCCTCGCTTAG